CCGCGCTTCTGAGGCTTTGCTCTGGCAAAGCCTCAGAAGCGCGGGAACCCGCCCGGTGCCCCTGGTCTGCTGGAGACGGTCTCAGCTTACGAACGGTCTCAGCTTACGGTCTCAGCTTACGGTCTCAGCTGCTGGAGACGGAGCACTTTCTCGCCCCGGAGCTCGCAGGTAGCAATCCGCTACCTCGACCACCGGGGCGAGAAAGCTCCATTCGTAAGTGCAGATCCGACATAAGTCGGATCCGCGTAAGTCGGGGACTGCCTGTATTCTTGTGAGACATTCCATAAAAGAGTTAATTTTTTTTTCTAAACATACATGGCTCATTTTAAAAATGTCATACAAGCACTAAGTATAGTTACACACTTAAATAAATGGAATAGTTCCATAAGATCAATGTAAATGACTAGTGCTGCTGGAATTTTTGTATATGAACATGAAAGTAAAAATGCAAATTCATCAGCTCAAAACTTTAGATTTTCCAAAAATAATAGGAAAAAATGTCTTGCAGTTGCATAAGATCAACCAACACATGCTTGTGTGTCTCCTATTAATGCTCTCATTTTTGTTATGTAAATGTGGTATGTGATCAAAAAAAGTGTTAGTAGAGGAAACATTTACATCTAATTAAAGTACATAACCTTGAGTTTTACAAGTTCAATTTGGGTATATTATGAATTGTAAAAAACTGTCAGCACTGTTCAGTTGCACAATCACCAGCTTCTCCAGTTTCTTCTTTTTTTATTCAAAAGGTGTGGTTTAAAGATTTTAAATAATGATTCTTCCTTTGGGTCGTAGTAATTCTATGTGTTGCCTCTACATTTCTGCTTCTAGGTTTCTTTCCATGCTAGAGGAAGAGGTGTATAGTCAGAATTCTCCTATTTGGGATCAGGATTTCATGGTGTCCTCTTCTCGAACTGGCCAGCTAGGAATCCAAACAGGTAATCTGCATTTAGGACAGGATATGGGAGGGACTGTGTAAAGAACACAATACATCTGCAAAAGCTTCCACAGAGAGAAAAAGGTGAAATTGTAAGCAGGTAGTACTGGAAATGCAGAATTATATGGCAGTGCCTGCAGAAACAGTAGCTTGAATATTAGTCTGTGTGCACAGAGAGCAGTCTGCCTGGTTCCTCATGGAATGACGAAATACTCTTCTCCACAAAAGGCATATAACTTGTGTCTTACCTCAGAACATTTAATATCTTCTTTCTATAATATGTTCTCTAGAGCTCCCTCAAGGATTGCCTGTGTCCAATGATACATACTCTCCCATATCAACTGTTCATCATCTCAGTTCAGATGAATGCTTTTTCTGTTCAGGGCTCCCCAGAACTCTGTTCATGGCTGTATCATGGAAGCAGCACTTAGAAATTTCCAGGAGAATCTGGAAAGATGCATCTCCTAGTAGAATATTTAAAATCCATTCATACTGCTCATACATACATACATCTACTAAACTACTGAAGTCAGGATTAGGGATATTGAAGCATCTGATCTAGCTTTTCCTGACTGCCAGCTTGGGAAGCATTGTGTCTCTCTGATAACTGGGCTCTTACTACATGTTAGAGACCTCCGTCTGTTGGGACAGGCATGTAACTTTGTGAATAATTCCTACTTTCTAACTAGTATCTGATCAAATATGGGCATTGAGGAGCTGGGGTAGAAGATATATAATATTGAAAAATAGATCTATATAAAAAAGTAAATACTTAAAGGGCTAAGTGAAGTTATACTGATATCCCCTGTACCTGCCTAATCCAAACTCTTTGTTTATGAACGGTATATGAGAGAGGCTCAATATATCACTAAATGTATCTTGCTAATCCAGGCCATCTCATCAAGTAATCTTCAATACTCTTCAGATTTTGATCTGTACTCCTCTGGTGTCAAAATAGCCAGGTTCTTTTCATGCAGATGTTTCAGAAAACAATTGAAAGGGGGCCTGTTGCTTTTGAGGACATAACAGTAGGAATTTCCAAAGAAAGAGATGTGTCCTATTTCCAAGTAACCGCCTTGTCATAAAATGATTAGCGGCACTAAACAAATCTGAGCAGGTGGAATTAAACATATTTTACAAGTGGTGGAAAAGTGTGGGTTTTTTGGGTTTAATAAATAATTGCATAGCTTAACGTGGTGTTACTTTCTTTGGAGTTAGTTTTGGTAGCATATTCATAGAATCATATTGATGTAGAGTTGGCAAAAATCATCAAGTCCAGCCCCCTGCCCTGAGGCCGGATCAAGTAGTATAAGTGTAATATGTTACAGTGAAATCTTACACCTTTTCCTAGAAGACCCTCTTCAGCTAGCTGCAACTCGTTTCTTCATGTGGCAGAATGCCAACTAGCTAGATAAGTATGTTGCAGAAACCCATTTTTCCTGGCTTTTGCACAACATTGCAGAGAAATAAAGCCTGATAGTGGCAATAGAATAAAATTAGTCCTGTAATACAATGGAAAGTGTTAGAACTGATTTTTTTAGCTGGATGCTTTTAGAAGATATAGTTAATAAACGCCCACCTGCACATCAAGGAATTTGGCTTGCTGTGCAATATCAAATTTTAAAATACAATAAAAGAAATCAGAATAAAAAGCCCTTCTAAAATGTGCACAAATCACATTATTTACTCTACTTTTTGATTGACAGTACATTAGGTACTCACTACCAGTGTAACTCTTTGAAGCTTGTTTGTTTTTTAAAGTTAGTATTGGGGTGAATTCTCATGCCTTGAACCTTCTTTCTCTTTTATATTGTTACAGTTATCAGTCCTCCCTCTGTGGCAAGGTCTGTTTCATACAGTGCAAGTCCTTCAACTCTAGAACAACCCAACAGTGGAAATATGAGTCCTGCTTGCAAAGTTTCTTCTTGCCATGACCCAACTCTAGGTAACTTGAAAGGAAGTTGATCTTCTGTTCAGGCTAATTATCAGAAATATGGTTTTATGTTGTGTCAAACTTGTAGTTTTCTTTGTTTTTAGTAGTTGTGGCATAGCTGAAATCCACTGATCTTGTTTCTTGGGGCAAAGGAGAAAACAAGTCATCTTTAAAGAACTGATTCTTTTCTAATGTAGACAAATTACAGCATAGCATTCACCACATGTTGAACTCTGGATCACATATCCACTGTAATGGAAAGCAAAATGATGCCCAGTTCAGTTATTTACTGGACCATGGTTTTGCTTACAGATCTGATTTAAAACTATCTTATTAAGCCAGAAAAAAAAAAATCATAGGTGATCCCAAAAATCTTTTTTTGAAAAAGAGACCGTTTTAGGCTCACATGCTTAGTAGGAATCAAAGGGACAGCCACACTTAGCCGTTTATGAATTTGCGGGGTTTTTTTTTGTAATTTAAAGTTATACTACCAGCTTCCATTCCACTGTCATGCTCCAGTATGTATCAGCATAAACTATTTGGTTACTGCACATATACCCTCTGCTCTCCTCCTGCACTCATATCCCCTCCCAGATCTTGCACCCCAACTCTCTGCCCCAGGTCATAATTCTCACCCTCACCCCACAGTTCCCTGCCCATGGTTACAACCCAAACTTCTGCAGCCTCATCCCCTGCCCCAGATCACAACCCCCTCCTCTCCAAGGTCACAACCCAAAACCCCGTTACCCCTCCAGTACCCCAGTCCCCTACCTCAAGCTACATTCCCCTCCCAGACCCCACATCCTGTCTATACCCTAGTTCATTGCTGAAAGCTCCCTTCTGCACTCAACCTCCATCCCAGACCCCATACCTCATCCATTGATATCATGGAAGAGTGCGGCCCTTGACCACTTTCCAATTTCTTGGAGTGGCCCCCCCCACATCAAAAATTATTGCCCATCTCTGTTCTAAGACATCACAGCATGTAAGACATAACTGATAGGGTTGTTAGATAGCGATTAATTGAATAGTCATTTAACCACACAAAATATTATTGGTTACATGACTATTCAGTAGTCTTCAGAAGTGGGGCTGGCAGCCAGTGTGTTCCTGGCCCCACTCCCGGGGAGCCCCCTGCCACCTCACACTGCTTCCTCTGTATCAGAGGCAGCAGAATAGGGCAGCAGGTGGGAGCCAGTTTAAAAATGAGTTCCCTGTGCAGACCAGCTCCTGCCTGCCATCCCACTGCTTCTGATACAGAGGCAGCAGCACAGAGTGGCGGCAGCCCTTGTCCACGGGGAGGCCAACCTTCCCATGGACAGAGGCTGAACTGCCATCCCATGGAGCAGCCTCTATTTGCAGCGAGTCTGGGCCTGTTGCGGACAGAGTCTGCTCTTCCTCTGATAGAGGCAGAATTGTGGAAGAGACAGTCAGCATCATGGATCTGGTGTTTGTGTGGAACCAGCTTAAAGGCTGGCTTCCCAAGGCACCAACTGCCCCCTCCTTGCTGCTTCTGATACAGAGGCAGCAAGCAGGGAGAGTGCATGTATTTCATAAGCCTAGGCTTATCAATTAGTCTCATCAGTTAATTGTGGACTTGATTACACTTTGACATCCCTAATAACTACCTTCACTTTTCAGGAAGTTTTGGATAAAATTACTCGAGTTAATTTTTTAAAGGGAAGTAGTTTTAATAAGTTCGTCTAATATTTTGAAGAAAATGGTAAAAATACATACTACAGTATTGGCTTCTGAGTAGGGGCAACTTTTTCGAACTTTTCTGTGATTGTACGAATTCACATCATTCACATTATTAGGTCTTTTTGTTCTCCCCAAATGCTCATAACAGTATTAGCGAAAGTCTGTGAGGTTGATATGATTGCAAGATTATAATAGTACAAATCTTTGAAGAGGACATTGTTTTGAAGGGGAAAAAAGGTTTTAATGTGAATTTATGGCAATTAAGTGGTGCAAGAAAATGCAAATATATGTTTGTCTTTAAGCCAGTGCTGACATTCCAACATAAAAGCAATGTTGCATTGATGATGCTTACATATGATAATTTGATGTAAACAAACATACCAGTGACATTTCTTTCAATTTCTAGATTAAAAAAAAATAAAATTACATAGAAGGCCTAAAATCTAGCACTAATGTTAGAATGCAAACCTACTAAACCAAGAACATGGTCTGAGTTGGTGATTCATAACCTACTCTCACTGTGCTTAAATACACACAGCATTTTGCCAATCACAACAGAAGATTAAAGCACAAAGGCAAACAAACAATTATTAAATTAATAGTTTGGGGGTATATGCTCTAGGATTTTCATAGAAAAGCAGTTAATACTTCAAATCATAATATGTTTTAAATGCCAGCATTGCAAATTCACCATGGGGTCTGAAAACTAAGCTCTTTTCTTCCTGTCTGTTACATAACAGCTGGAATTTAGCTGCCAGATTTGTGGATGGTACACGAGTCAGAACAGAATTCAGTTCTGTCTTCCACAGCTACATTGTCTCTTTAGTGCAGACTAGAGTGAAAATTTGTTTTGGTTGGTAAAAACATGCAGTGCAGAGCTATGTTGAGTCAGAGAAAGTGCCATTTTTAGTCACTCCTCATGCCATAGCTACACTTTAAATAGCGATGGAAAGATATTGTATCATTATGGGGCAGGTTTGTGGAGAAAGAGAATTGTTTTCAATTCAATGTGTGGCAGATTAATGCTTATTTGTAAAAGTGACTTCCTAAAGTGAGTAGTATTCAGAGCTGTAACTAGGCATTGTAGTGCCTGAGGTGAGCAAGCAGTGATGCATGATGGGGCATGCAGGGTCATGCTCCTGCCTCCCTCCACTCCCTGATTTCTGCCATCCATTTAGCATAAAGTTTTTTAAACCGTGTGGCATGCCCAGTTTGTAAACCATTGGCTCCTGCCAGGAATCAGTGGACTGGATGCTGGTGAAAGATGCCTGGCCTGTTTGCTCAGGCCCCGGGCTTTCTGTGGTGTGGCTGCCGAGGTGTTGGTTAGCTGCCCAGCAGTTTGCTCTGCCCTACTCTCTGGTTGCCAACAGTGGAGCTAGAAGCACCAGTAGTACTTTTAGTGTGCCCCTTCATGCTGAACAAGGAATAGTCGGAGACTTAAACTGTGACTGTACCTTATCAGTACATTGCTATGCTGTTTCTGTGTTTATAGGACTTTCTTTCATCCTAAACTTTTCAGCTTTTAATAAAGGAATGCTTCTTTTCTTATTATTTCCCCTCCCCAAGTTTTTTGTCTTTTTTTTTAAATTAGGTGGCTCCTGATAACATGAGATTCCTGCATTAGTTCAGTGGTAGCTCAATTGCAACTTAAGCCAATAGTGTAGTTTCTTAGCAAGGCTTGTAGTCACTTCCTAGGGCTCTGAGTAATGGATTCATGCTTAGTACAGACTTATTCACAAAAAGATTGATCACACATCAGCAAGGGCCCCATATATGGGTAGTGGAGGGGGAGGGGCAGTATCACACCCTCCTGAATTTGAACCTGTGGATTTCATATTTGAGGTCTTCTTAAAACCCATGTCCTGACTCCAGAGGCAGTTCTTAATTGCAACAGAGTTTGAGCTGCTTGCAGCTTTGCCTTTGGGGAAGGGGGTTTGTTATAAAAAGAGGGAGGCAAGGTGATTAAGAATAACAAAAGGATGAGCATTCAAGCAATTGAAGGATAGTTAGATCATCATGAAAACATTGCCGGGTAGTTCACCTAAAAGATAGGAGGGGAGGGGGAAGGGGGAGGAATGAGTGTTGTGCTGTAGGAATCTGCATTTGGACCACTGCTGTTAAACTTCTCATAAATGTTCTTGACAAAGAGGTAAACAGTGTCTAATCCAAAGCTGACAATAAAGAGTTACAAAGGGATCTCACAAAAATGGGTGATTGGGCAACAAAATACCATATTGCTTCTATATAAAGTCATTGTTTGCCCACATCTTGAATACTGTATGCAGATCTGGTCACCCTATGTACAAAAAAGATATACTATATTTAGAAAGGGTATAGAAAGGACAACAGAAAAGGGCAACCCTTATAGGGGTAAGGAACAGCTTCCATATGAGATTAGATTAACAAGGACTTTTCATCTTGGAAAAGAAATGACAGAAGGGAGGGGGTTATGTTAGAGGTCTAGAAAATCATGAAATGATGAATGATTTGAGAAAATAGAATAAGGAAATGTTATTCATTTCTTCACTAAAATAACACAAAAAGTGGACCCAATTACATTTATAGTCAACAGATTTAAAACAAACAAAATAGGTGACAGGGGATGGATGGTTATGATTGCCTCTTCAGTTGAATCTTCTGAAGCACCTGGCATTGGCCACTGTTAGAGGAGAGGATACAGGGCTAGAAGGACCATTGGACTGACCCAGTCTGGCCATTCTGATGTTCTTATATAGAGCTGAAATGTATCTGCCCCCTGCTGTAATCTGTAACCCACTAGATCCCACTTATCTTCCAGAGTTGAGATAGAGCCCAGGAGTCCTGACGGGGTCTCTGTCTCACTCCACAGAGTTAGTAACAAAGTAAGACTATACATTAAGATGTTAAGGCTAACCAGTGTCCCTTAAGTGACTTGCCACAAGATGTCAGACTATGCTAGTGTTACAGCTGAGTGGGTCTAGAATTTATTTAATTTTCTTTTTTTTTAATATAGGAATTAAATGCAGTGCTTCTGTCAGCTAACTGCTAAGTTGTCTGCCAAAAAAGTAGAGTTTTCTAGTGCCACAGAGATGATATGTGTGTCAGGGGAGGGCGGATGGGGTTGTGCCCCCATTTGGTGTTTGGCTTGTATGGAACATGCTCAGTAACACTGCTGAAGCCTCTGTCCTCAGTCTGCCTTCCTCATGCTCTCACTCTCTTCCCCGCTCCGTCTTCACGGCATGCACAGGTCCCCCCCCCCGATTTGAAATAGCACACCCTTAACATCAGTATCATGAATTGTAAAACTGACTGCTTGCATTGCTGAAAAAACACTTCAAATCTTAGTTCATTTATAGAAATCAATTACTTCAGGAAAGTGATTAACTTCCAGCTTGTATTTGATCTGATCCACTACACAGCATTCATTAGGTGAATTTCTTGCTGCTTTTGTCTTATAAATGGAATATGTTCTGTGCCTGTTTGGCCTTTTAATTATCCTTCCTTTTTATTCTGATTTGATTGTGTAGGAGAAAAGAGAAAGAACACTGAACCTTATTCTCAGGAAGATTCAAAAAAGCCCAGAATTGTAGGAGATATTCCTATTGAATTGATCAATGAAGTGATGTCTACAATTACAGATCCAGCTGCAATGCTAGGGCCAGAGGTAAGAAATGTAGACCTGGAAATAAAGGGTTCACTTTTGGAACTATTACAACACAAATGGGATAATATAAACTATTAGAATTTAAGAATCCATTAAAGTTATCATGTTTTGTTTCCCTTGACTTAAAATGAAGAAAGTATTTGGTCTGTTTCTCATACAAAGTACATTGTTTAACAGAACAATAATCAAAAATCTTTTGTTATATAATACTAGTAGATTTACCCAGCATTGCTTGGGTCCTTGACTCAATTTTAGTTTTTCTTCATTTAAATCATTGCTCTGGGTGAGGCTGAGGATGAGAGGTTCAGTATGTAGCCTTCCCTGGGGAGAGAGAGGACTAACCCAGCCCTTTCTCACTGCAGCAATGTGGGGCCAGGTGTCTCTCGATGGCTGCAGCAGCTCCAATGGGCAGAGCTGAGGGAGGGGTTCATGTCCCCTGGCTGGGGCAGGTTTACATTCATTTCATGCTATGCCCTCCAGCCAGATTAAGGAATGGAGCAAACTGTGCACTTTCCCTTGCTCACTGACAAAGGCGAGTAGCCAGCAATGGTCCTGTACCAATGTGTGTGTGGGAGGGGAGGGAAAGGGGGAGAGCACATGATTCCCTGGCCTCCCTTAAAGGGTGCCTGAGGGCTGGGGGGACTTGGGGCTGGGGCAGTGCTGGACAGAAGAGGGTGCCCCTGCCAGCTACTTTCACCTACCTGGTAATTTTTTCTCTTTTCTGTATGGTTTTATGCACCACCGTATGTAGGGGAGGAAGGAAGCTTCAGAGCCTACCCACAACCAAACCCTGGCCTTGCTTTCATTTATGATAAGAGGAAGCTGTATACCAGATTTGGTGGTCCTAGCTCTGTTCAGGAGGAGTTCTTGAACAAACAGACAGACACAGACAGACAGACTTGCTCATTCACCAATTCTCTCAAATATACAATGGATTTATCACTTACAAAGACACTTTCATAGCAGCACTAGCAAAGAAATGCTTCATTAACTTAGATTGCTCACAGCTTGTTTTATAAGGTACTTTTACTACAGGGCAGATCTATAATATTTAATTGTTAATTACAGATGTTTTGTATTTTCTCTTGTTACTTTAAGACATGAGTGAATTTGGTACAAATCTTGTAGCAGAATATTAAATCCAGATTTGAGAATTCTGGCAATCACAGCAGGGACAATTTTTCTTTAGTGAATATATATATATAGATGTACTGAGGTTCAAAAATGAAACAGCTTCCTTGCTTTTTCTCCTATAGCTCTTTTCTTAACTGAGGAGCGACATGGGAGACTGAATTGTATTCTCCTCATTTTCTACACGAGCATACATTTTTGGTTTGAATTTCTGGCTCTTCTCTTCACTTCCCTCCTGATTATATTTTTTGCCAATCTTTCACATTTGCCAAGTCTCAGCCAGAGGCTGCAGAAAATTTGGAGTGTTAACAAGATTCTTACCCATTAATTAGATTACGCAATTTGGGTAGGCTCATTTTAAATGTTGGGACAATCAGGATGCCCAGCAGCAGTGGTGACTGGATGGCCAGCAGCTAAACTTAATTCTGTAAAACAAACAATGCACAGAGGTGTGGTCAAGTGCAAAATAAATGTTAACTGTGGGAATCCTTTTAACTGGTAACAGTCCTGTGTCTGTAGTGTGTTCCAAGGAGAACTAGCTATGCAAATAAGTTACGCATTTTCCCGGACAGCAATTAGCAATGTTTTAATATCCAACAACTATCTATTTTCTTTTAATCGCGTTGTAAAGAATAGGTGATTGGGAGTACCTCAGCTTGCTTAATAGATAAGCTTTCATTACCTATTAATTTAATTCACCATAATAAACCTAAAAATTTTAAAATAAAATACAGCCACAATTTTAATAGGACCCACAAAAATATTTTTCCAGTATTGTTAGAGAAGCAGTTAACAGATACTGTTTTCAGACTTGTGTGGTCTTCCACAATAGTTGCCAATATAAAAGCAAAAATGTTTTTGCCCGGTAAATTGCTATATAAGTAGAAGTTGTTAAACAAATTGGCTATATTAATTTCTACTCCATTCAGAAATAGATGCACAGTTGCCAAATATTAGATGCAAAATTAGAAAGAAATTAAATTATATTTGCAAATTCTTAAGATAATTGTGTAATCATGGAAAGTAAAAATAAAATCAAAACTCAGGCTTGTTTGGCAGAGTCGCTTTTTATTTAATACACACAGATAGCTCTGTTTGTAAACGAAAGATTGGAAGGCTTAGAACCTTTTATTGGTTGTCCTATTGATAGATGGGAAATTAAGACAATATCTCCTCAAACTTGCTCTAATGTATTTTTGTTCCCCTTTTGCATGACACAGACTAACCTTCTGTCAGCACATTCAGCTCGGGATGAAGCAGCAAGATTAGAGGAGCGCCGGGGAGTGATTGAATTTCATGTAGTTGGAAATTCTCTGAACCAGAAACCAAACAAAAAGATTATGATGTGGCTGGTTGGCTTACAGAATGTATTCTCCCATCAGCTACCCAGAATGCCAAAGGAGTACATTACACGGCTGGTCTTTGATCCGTAAGTATCTTCTTTCTGATGTTTGAGAATCTGCACACTCTGTAGTGTTCAGCAGATAAACAAGAAAGGATAAATGTAAGGACAGAAAGGACAGAAAGCATGTCTGTTTTATGCTTGCTTTACTATTTTCAGAGAGAAATTAATCCTGGAAAACATATCAGGTTGCTATTTTCCAAATATACTAAATACAAATATCATCAGAAGTTGTAAGAAATCTGGACATAATCTTTATCATTGCTGTCCTGAAAGTTAAAGATTAATAGCACTGGTTATTGGCAGGAAATGGATGCAGTGTAAATTTTCACAGACCTTGAATTTTGCCATAAACAGTTATGAAGGGTTTACTGAGGGCAGTGTCCTTTTAACTGCTAGCACATTGTGTAAGTGCTGCTGAAATTGATATTTCTTCTGATTTTTGCATGTTTTTGGGAATAGGTGCTTAGAAATACCTATTGAATGCCTGAATTAAGCTGTGCAGATAACATATTTAAGCTATGCAGAATGCACAGAGGGAATCAAGCATTTGGTAGTAAAGGATGAATGTCCTGAAGCTCAGTTAATCTCTAATTTAGCTAAGGTAAAGTTTTGATAAGAAATGGAATGTAACTGTAATTTATAATGGCAAAGACAAGAAAACTTTTATGATGCATTTTACAGTCGATGCAGAATATGTTAGTTAAATCAGCAACTGTTCTATAGATACAAGCAATTGGTTTAAACCAAGACATTCATAATTGTTTTTGGAAAGCAAAGAATAAAAAGGGAAAGCGGTACCTGTGCAGTGCCAATGTACTAAGGCTGTTGTTGTTTTATGCATTCAGAAAACACAAGACCCTTGCATTAATAAAAGATGGTCGTGTGATTGGTGGTATCTGTTTCCGGATGTTCCCATCTCAAGGATTTACAGAGATTGTTTTCTGTGCTGTGACTTCTAATGAACAAGTCAAGGTAAAGACAGTATTAGAAGTTGATTTATTGTATAGTTGATTGTCTATTTGAATTATTTGGGGCCAGAACTCAATAATGTGTTATAGTTCACTTGGCGATATATTTAACACACAAAGAAATTAAACTGCTTTAAAATGCTCTAGATCTGAGTACCTCCCCTTTCATAATAATTAAACATCTTTCATCACCACACCAATCTGTTGTCTCCTTTTATTGCATTCGTCACTCTGCAGTCTTCCCTGACTGCACTTGTATCCACTTGTTGTAACATTTGTAGCTAAATGAAAATGAGCATTCTGCTTGTGAAGCAGCAATGTTATGGACCACAGCCTTAAATCACTTGAATTAAAAATACAATCTTTAATAAGTGGACATAATCTCGCATCTAAAAATGAGATGGCGTACTACATAACTCTCCTAGGGCACAGCTCACAGCAGGGCTAAAGTCGAATTAAGCTACGTAACTTCAGCTTAATTGCGTAGCTTACGTCTAAATAGCTTAATTTGGTTTTTGGTGCTGTCTACACAGCAGGAAGTTGAAGGAAGAGCACCTTTCCTTTGACTTCCCTTATTCCTTGTAAAATGAGGGTTATTGGAGTCAGAGTAAGAAATCCTCCGTCTTGACATTATTTCGAAATAACAGCTTGCAGTGTAGATTTGCTGTTTGTTATTTTGATTAATGTTAGTTATTCTGGAATAACACTGCTGTATAAACATAGCCTTAATCTATACTTGAAGGGTATTTAAATGTTAAGCCATTACAGTGGCACAGCTAGGATACTGTGCTCCCATGGTGTAGAGAGTCTTAATAGGAGTGTTGTGAGCAAGACACAAGAAGTCATTCTTCTGCTCTACTCTGTGCTGATTAGGCCTCAGTTGTAGTATTATGTCCAGTTCTGGGCACCACATTTCAAAAAAGATGTGGAGAAATTGAAGAAGAGCAACAAAAATGATTGAAGGTCTAGAAAACATGAGCTATGAGGGAAGACTGAAAGAACTGGGCTTGTTAAATTAGAAAAGAGAAGACTGAGAGGGGACATGATAGCAGTTTTCAAGTATCTAAAAGAGTGTTATTAGGAGGAGGGAGAAAAATTGTTCTCCTTGTCCTTTGAGGATAGGACAAGAAATAATGGTCTTAAATTGCAGCAAGATAAGAAAAACTTCCTGCCTGTGAGGGTGCTTAAACATTGGATTAAATTGCCAAGGGAGATTGTGGAATCTCCATCTCCAGAGATATTTAAGAGCAGGTTAGACAGACACCTGTTAGGGATGATCTAAACTGTGCTTGGTCCTGCTGTGAGGTCAGGGTACTGGATTCAATAACCTCTCGAGGTCCCTTCCAGATCTAGTGTTCTATGATTCCTAAAGCAACAGAAGGGGAGTTTCCATTGCTATAGAAACTCCACCTCCCCAAGTGAGGGTAACTAGATCTATGGAAGCATTTTTCTGCCAATATAACTGTGTCTACACTACAGATGTAAGCAGCTAGTAGTCGACTACTTGATAAGCATATGCTTATCGGGTAGTTAGTAATGACTTGACTAGTCACTCCCCCACTCCTTGCTGCCTCTGTCAGAGGGAGGCAGCGGGCGGGGGTGGGGGAAGAGCCAGCTTAACAGCCAGTTTCCCCAGCACTGTCTGAAGGGTGGGAGGCAGGGAATGTACAGGTGAAGCAAGGAAATGGCACGAGTGGGGATTGAAGCAGTCCCCGTTCGTGCCGGTCCAACTGCTGTGCCTCTCCCTTTGAAACGTTGCAAGAACCCTCTAAAGCTCTTGCTACGTTTTAAAGGGAGAGGCAGAATCCAGGCAAGTGGAGATTGCTTGAGTCCCTACCCATGGCTCTACTACATTTAAAAGGCAGAAAAGGGGATAGTGAGTGCCCTATCGCACCCCTTATTGACTAATCAAGGAGCTGATGCACATTCCATCAACTACTCATAGTAGTTGATTAATTGAAATTTAACATCCCGGCTACGTCTACACTGGCATGATTTTCCGGAAATGCTTTTAACGGAAAAGTTTTCCGTTAAAAGCATTTTCGTAAAAGCGCGTCTAGATTGGCCACGGACGCTTTTCCGGAAAAGCACTTTTTCCGGAAAAGCGTCCGTGGCCAATCTAGATGTGCTTTTCCGCAAAAAAGCCCCGATCGTCATTTTCGCGATCGGGGCTTTTTTGTGGAAAACACTACTGTGCTGTCTACACTGGCCCTTTTCCGGAACAGTTTTCCGGAAAAAGACTTTTGCCCGAACGGGAGCAGCATAGTTTTTCTGGAAAAGCACTGATGATTTTACATTAGATCGTCAGTGCTTTTCTGGAAATTCAAGCGGCCAGTGTAGACAGCTGGCAAGTTTTTCCAGAAAAGCGGCTGATTTTCCAGAATAACTTGCCAGTATAGACACAGCCCCCTAGTCTGCACTAGGGTTTAGGGCAGCACTGCTACAGTGCTCAAGAGAGTGGTTTTTTGATGCTCCTGAGTGCCGAAGCTGTATTGACCAGACCTGAACAATTAACTGCTCTTCTTAAAGAATAAAGTTCAGGTGATCAAAATTATGGCTATTTAATTTCATCTTCTTGCTTTTAGATGGTGCTGTAGCTGTATATTCAGTCAACCATGTTCATAGATGAGACTGAAACTAATTTAGAATTCAACATCATAGAGTTGGCAGAAGACGTGCTCCATTCAGGCTCTTGGAAACAGAGCCAGGGTGGAGGAATAGCAGAGTGAGAGTTGAATGCTTTTACTGCCTTAAATATTTTCCCTTAATCTTTCGTGCACTAAACTTCCGTTTTATTGAGATTCAGTCACCTCTTAGCCAACAATTTGTCACAAAGGCTTTCATTCAGCATTTCAGCAGATTTACATAATAAAATATAACAGTCCAGACATATATTTCTAACTCTGAATAATGGTGTAATGGCTTTTGCAGTTTTTGTCAAAAGTAGCTGCTGTACTGAATACATGCACGAGCACTTAGATGCACAATTATCAATTTACACTCCTGGGTGCCTGTTGACATACATATATATTTGAGATAACTACCTGTGAAAACTGGGATTCCTATGTTCCTTTATGTGGAAGGTGGTCACTACTAGCAGCTAAGTCAGAAAATATTTACAAATGGATCTTAGCCTGTTCTTACTAAAAGCACTTCCTATCTGTATGAACTTTCACATAGCTGGACTAAGTAAGATAGAGGATTTATTTAAAAAAGATTGGCTTTTGAAAGTTGAAAAGGTTTTGAAGTAGCTGGATGTGACCTATATGTACAATGTGCATTATAACTTGTATGGTCTTTTCTTCTCTATATGAATATTCAGCTGTAGAAGTTTTTGTGCAAATGAATAACATTTGAATAAATGAATTTACATAAGAAAGCTAAATTTAAAAATCACCCATAGGACAAAATATTCTGTGCATATGTAATATTGGATTGTCTGTCAGGCAAAATAGTTTAGAACTCTTGCAATCAGTCACTAAACTTGTGACAACAGAACGATGGGCTCCAAAAATGTTATAGTGTGTGTCTAGGCTGCCTTAAAAGCTTGTGGTTGGCCCATGCCAGCTGGCTTGGGTGAAGAGACATTTTAGATGTTGGGACTCAGGTTTCAACCTAAGCTCTAGGACCGAGCAAGGTGGAAGGGTCCCACAGTTTGGGGTACAGACAGAGGCTGAATGTGTACACTGCAGTTAAACAAACCCTTAGCCTGAGTCCTGCAAGCCAGAGTCAGCTAGCTTAAGCAGGCTGTCGGTGTTCAGTTTCAGTATAGACATACGCCGTAGAGTGAATCTCTAATTTACTCTCTGGATTGTTCTGCTACAGAGAAATAAGCTTGACTAGTACTCGGATCTCTAGTTTTTAAGATGTTTCATTACATTTTGATCATAGTTTCTCCTATTTAAATTAAACCCTTGTGAATTTAGTGTTTGAACACTGAAAATCCCTTTATTTCTTGAGCACTACTGAGTATTCTAAAGAACTTTTGGGCCCTCTCAACAGTCCATCAGTTGCCATCTCATGTATTTGTTGCCTGATGAACTCTTTGAAAGGTGAAACAGGCATCTTACTACTTATTTAGGTTTCAGAAATCTGCAGTTTAGGACATAATCTGGGACTGTAATATTAAATGTGAAACCTGCAAAAGGGCCCCACTGCGAATAAATTGATGCACAGCTACTATGCCCACAGTGACAGGGTTTTCATGCAAGTGTCATTATTAAGTATTCTATGCTAAATTTCTAGTATTAATTTATCTCTGATATATCTGTTGCCATTTTCCAGAGGCTATTAAAGATTGTTGATTATAAATGTTGCACTTTCTATTTTGTAATTTATTGCTGTATCTCATGTCAAAGCATAAGAAGTCTCCCAACCTTCCAAAGAAATAAGAAGATCCCACATAAGTTTCCTGCACATTTTTAAAATGCTCCATTTTTTATATATTTCCTCAGTAATTTCAACTTAAGCAGCAATGATTAATTCAGTTACATTAGTGAAGGATCCTTGTCTATATCAGTTATTTTTCATGGCAAGAGAAAAATTATAGGATTGTTTGGAAATGTAAATGGCATATTTTCTGTGGGATTTTTCATTTTAGCTACATTACTGCATAAATTCTCTTCTGTTTCTGAATGAGACTAGGAATTGTTTTTGTTTGGAATCAGAGGACATCTCTATTCATCATTTAGTTTATATTGTGTGTGTAGAGACCCCAATCAGAGATCAGGCCTCCACTGGACATGTGTATATTGCACATGTAATAAAAAGGACACCTGCCCCAAAGAGCCTAAAGTCTTAGGATGAGATGAAAAAGAACAGGTGGGTAAGAGGATAAGGTAACAATGAAACAATCATGGTTACCATAATAAACAGCACTCTTAGTACATCAGCTGCCTAATCATTACAGTGACATGGTCAAGGGAAGTCTTATGGAAGAATCTATTTCTCAAATACAGTAGAGTATTGTAGCATCTGAGCATCTTTAGCTTTGTAGTTCTGTATGTTTTGATGCTAAATGCTTGATATTTAACTTTAAAATACAATAGATATATTCACCTGGAATTATAACTACCTGAAAAAAGTATCTTTAGGGCAACACTCTGCTCCCCAAGGGCATGACTACACTAGGAAATTATTTCAAAATAACTAAATTTGAAATAACTACTCCTGATATAACTATTTCTCAATAAGCTTATTCCCCCAGGAGAGCAGGAGTACAGATTTTGAAATAACCAGCCTGTTATTTCGAAATAACAGGCTTGGTAGTATGGATGCTCTGCTTATTATTTCGAAATAAGGGGGGTCATTTCAAAATAACTCCCTAGATTAGACCAGAGCCATAAGAGCTGAGGCTGTTTCTTTTAGATCAAAAGTGAATCAATAATTAGAAGTTATGACATAGTGTCCTCCATTGGATCACATTGACCTTCCAAGTGTTGTAAGTAGTTCAGTCTTTGCGAATCCTCTCTAAATTATGAGCCTGAAGTACTTGCGTACTGCTCTAGAAAAATACTCCCTTTAGGCTGTGTCCAGACTCAGGGGTTTTTTCGAAAAATGTAGCCTTTTTTCGAAAAAACTTCCCCTGCGTCTAGACTGCAGCCGCGTTCTTTCGAAATTAAATCGAAAGAATGCGGCTTTTCTTTCGACGGTGGTAAACCTAATTCCACGAGGAAGAACGCCTTCTTTCGAAAGTGCTCTTTCGAAAGAAGGCGTTCTTCCTCGTGGAATTAGGTTTACCACCGTCGAAAGAAAAGCCGCATTCTTTCGATTTAATTTCGAAAGAACGCGGCTGCAGTCTAGACGCAGGGGAAATTTTTTCGAAAAAAGGCTACTTTTTTCGAAAAAACCCTGAGTCTGGACACAGCCCGGGTGCTTTCTTTCGAAAAAGCGGCTTGCTTTTTCGAAATTCCGCGTGCAGTCTAGACGCTCTCTTTCGAAAGAGGCTCTTTCGAAAGAGGCTTGCAGTCTAGACATAGCCCCAGTGAGTCTGGATGCTCTCTTTCTAAAAAGCCTGTTTGCTTTCAAGAACGCCTTCTTTCGAAAGTGCTCTTTCGAAAGAAGGCGTTCTTGAAAGCAAACAGGCTTTTTAGAAAGAGAGCATCCAGACTCACTGGGTGCTTTCTTTCAAAAAAGCAGCTTGCTTTTTCGAAATTCCGCGTGCAGTCTAGACGCTCTCTTTCGAAAGAGGCTTGCAGTCTAGACATAGCCTTAGAGAACAGTTGAAGGTAAGGTCTATCTCTTGCCCCACAGCTTGTAATATATGTAACAACAAAAAGGTTATCATCATGAGCTGAATTCCCTTAACTCTTTCCACATAGGGTTATGGAACTCACCTGATGAATCATCTGAAAGAGTATCACATCAAACATAACATTCTCAACTTCCTCACATACGCAGATGAATATGCAATTGGCTACTTCAAGAAACAAGTAAGTAAGCCTAAGAAAAGTCTTCAGCCAGTGCATGATACTGAAATGTAGAAATTTGTGTCTATAAGTTTGTGTCTCTACTTACAAACTTACAGTGGCACAGCTGAATGAGCTGTTGTGTAGCCACATTGTGCTGATGGCTGAGGTGTCTCCTATTGACATAATGAAACCAGTTCAATGAGGGCTAGTATCTGTGTTGGCGAGAGAGCATCTTCTGCTGACAAAGTGGTCTGCACACACACAGTTATGCTAGCAAACCTTGTATCTCTTGTGTGTGTTTTTTCACACCCTTGAGTGACAAAATTTTGCCAATGTAAGTGCTAGTATACACATGGCCTAAATATAATATATTAGCAACTTGTGGTATGTAAGCAGCTATATTAAATGTGCAGTGTCTTTTATTTTAATATGCAAAATATGTTCTGTATTAGCCAAAGTTAAGGTATTGTCTTTATAGAACAGTATTTTTGAAGGAAAAATCTGAATATATTTGCAGATTGCATAATACTCTCAATGAAGTGTTTTTAAAGTTACAGCTGAATGTGGTTAAAATAAATTCACTTTCTGAATTTCTAATTGAATGTTAAAAAGTACTCTGCACTTAAACAATCACTGTTTTTGGAGGGAGTTTGAGGTGAGACAGACATATGTGGTAATACAGTGTTCTTACCACACTGACAGAAATAGATTTAGATGGTTATGTTGTATCTCTTTTGTGATCACAAATCATACGGAAATCGATGAGTTATACCATCATAAAATTTTAGTTTAGTATATGGTAACTGTGTGTTTTATTTTTATTTTGATCTTTCTTTAAAATAGATACTAAATAAGTCAGTTGTGCATTGAAGCACCAGTCCTCTTTTTAGTTTTGCTACCATGGACCCATACATAGTTCTGTAAATAAAGTGTGAATCCATGTGAGTGTGGGGGGTCTATTCTTGCTATGCAGAATTGGGGCCTATATTGACAAATTTAAACAAAACCAAATAAGCCAGATTCTGCTAGTTTAAGAAAAGCCTTAAGGAAGTGGCCAAAGGAGAGGAAAACTTCCTCATTTTTTCATTAGGGAATTGTGAGGGTTGCCCTCCTATATTATGCATGGGGTTCTATAGTGTGGATTTCTGTCCCCTGTATGCTGTAATCTCTAGAACTTTCTTTGGTTTTATATTTTGGTTTGTATTTTTTTTACTTGATTTTTATGCAGGTGGGTGGGTGGGTTTGGCTAGTTGGTTGTCTGTCTTCTTCTTTTGGGGCACATTGTGGCAGCCGTACTTAGGGAAAACTTTAATTGACTTCAGTAGAAGCCTAGCCTGACTAGTGACTGCAAGATTGAGACCTATTCGCATAATATTAAATGTTTTATGTAAACAACTTTCTTTGAATAAAAACCTGTGTATTTGCCTACTTCCCTTCCCCACACCAACGTAACTCATTACATTTTGGAGTTTGTTTCTATTCTTGCTATGAGCCATTATCCTGCATGTGAGTAACTGACTATTTGTGTGTAAAACTACACGCTCTAAAGTATTGACACAACTGGGGTCATGGTCAGTAGATTTTTTTAAATATTTTTGGCATTTTGACAGTGTAATGAATCTGACTATAATTCATAATTGCAATAATGCATTGTATTAATTTGAGTTATCTTTGCTTAGGGTTTCTCCAAAGATATTAAAGTACCAAAAGCAAAATATGTTGGCTATATCAAGGATTATGAAGGAGCCACTTTAATGGGATGTGAATTTTCATCATTAAAAAGAAAAAAGAGGTAAATAAAATGAAATAAAATATTATTAATTAATATTAACTTTTTAAAAAACTTACACATTTAAAATGGCTTAGAAAAATATTTCTAAAAACTTCAGTCAGTATTCAAATCTCTATCCCCTTTCATGACCATAGCTGGTATTCAATATACCACACAAACCATTTTAATTAATTAAACATGTTTTATTATGGCCTTAAAATTATCATAATTTTTCCATATTTCAGGCATAACTTTTCCTTTTTTACAGCTAACAAAGCATCATCATTTAAAGAAGTACACTGTATTGATATAGTATGATATCACAAAATAAAATTTCTCATTCTGGGTGAGCAGGTGTGTGAAATTTTGCAAGGTTGCTCTAATTTACTTTTCAACTTTTTTAGTATTTGATTTACATAATTGTTATTGCAGCACTGACTCCCGGTAACTTTGAATGGAAAGTTCATATTTATATCCTTTAACTAGTTCACCACTTCGTCCACACAAAGATCATAGTCCATGACAACATTTTGGCATTAATGTAATAGTTAAGCATATGCTTAAATGCATTTTTCTGAAATGTGGTCCACCAGGGTCACAAAGAAGTTTCTCTAAAAAGCACAATGCTCTTGGGCTCTTTTGTGATGCGGTCAGATATTATTATTTCAATTTTATATTGTAAAATTGCTTCTGTGTCAAGCAGCCGTTTCCTTTTAATAGAGAGAGCGCCCTGAGGGAACAACAGCTTTCTCTGTTTGACAGAATCTGTTTTCTATATTATTCTTCCAAGGTCCAGTTGCTATTAATTGCAAAGGCAGAGTTATTTTAAAAGATGAATGGAAGATGCAGTCTGTTCTTCGACACCAGCGTGTCAAAATAACTGATTCTGGCCTTAATTTTTTAAAAAAAAAATCTTTCCTGATACTTATGTATGTTAAATCATATACATGTGCTCTTTCTCACTTCTTTTTACTTTCTACAGCTGATGCCACGTAAAACAACTTTTTGTAATAAACAGTTTTTCTGAACATGTTGGTTTCTAAACGATGACAGAGAACCTAAAGTTGACCAAAATTGCATGTGCACTTAATAGCTAATTTGGGGTTTAAGACCTTCAAGTCCTAAAACTTGTAATATATCTATAATAGATCAAAATGAATGGAAATTTAAGATCTACATCACAAAAACATTGTAGTTTTTTCTTAAGGTTGTTTTTTTACTTTCTGTGTACGTTTATATAAGTAAAGATAATGTAGATAACTATAATCATCCTATCTGATTGTGTTACACTTCAACCTCTTTTCTCCGGCAACCCTGTGAAACAGGGTTTGCTGGATTAAAGATTTTTCCAGACCAGAGAGGGAGTGGGGGGATGAGAGTAAAGTGCTTATCTGGTGTTCCGCTACCTCTTTCCCCTGCTCCCAGGTAGCATTCCCCCACTGCTATACGAGCAGCAGGAAAAGCCTCCAGCAGCGTGTGTTGCTGCGGTGCTATTCCCCCAGCTCGGTGAAAGGGGGATAAGTAGTGCACAAGTTGCTTCTGCCTCTGCCTACCAGGGTCTGCACAATGAGTGTTCCCAAATTAGGGACACCTGGAGTAAAGAGGTTGTAGGGTAGTATATTTGTGACCCTGAATTACCTTTTTATATTTAGATTTCTCTCACATTTTTACTCTTCTAAACCAAACCTTCTGCACAGTAGCAACTTTCAGAACCTCAGGACAGCTTGCTTTTGATATATATACTGTGTACTCCAAAACACATTTTTGAGCTAATCAGGAAGCCAGGTAAAATTTCAGATTTTGTCTTAGTTTTGGTGTCTATAGGCATTTGCTTTCCGCCCCCTCACAAATTTTCAAAAGTTCCTAACTAGCATCTTAAAAATTGATCTGATTTGCGCATTGCTAGTGTATTGATTTCTGTTAGAGGTGTGATCATCTTTTTCTCCAGGATAGTTCTGCTTGAACAACCTCTGGTGTGGATGCAGTTGTAAAAAGCTGCTTTATGCACCACAATGAAACACCCTTCCTACATGAGAATAAGCTATTCCATTATAAGCACCTTCGTGCTGGTACGATTGCACCCATGCTACAGGGGTTGTATAACTTTAATTGTACCAGTATAGTTAAAATACACAACTTTTGTGCGTAGACAAGCCCTTGATCACCCTTCTCTATATTCAAAAATGACTTAGACACTTAAGTCATTTAGGTGTTTTTAGAAATTTTACTTCAAGTCTGGTTGCTTAGTTGTTTTATGTGTTTTCCACAACACACCTTTGATTCAAATGTTTCAAAGGAAGTTGAAACATTTCAGTTTGAAATAGCATGTCCTTTCGGAATCTTGGGTCTACAGTTAGCAGGAAAAATCATTATTATTTAATGACTTGTTTTTCTGTCTCATACGAACATAGGTATAGCTTTCTTCTGAAGCATTTTAAGATTCCCCATCTGATATACAAAGAATAAATCACAAATTTTGCTCTTAGTTTTCTAAGAAACCAACACTTATGTATTCCTCGTCGTCTGCAACTTTATAAAGAGTGCCTCAGTGTCTTGTCAATACAAACAGACATATTAAGATTTATGGATGTAAATAGAATTTTATAGTTTTCTTCTGTTAAATTTATCTTCACACTGTGGAGTGATGTCAACTTCCTGAATACTAGTTTATGTCAATCAAAGACATTTGCAGTGTATCTTATTGAATACTACCACTGAATTCATTTAGATTTAGTATGGTGAAATCAGGTACATTATTGGGTAATGTTTGTTTTACAGATTTATTCTCAAATATTTGCTTTTTTAAAGATAGAAATTCAAATGTATTGTTCTTTGTTTCATAGTTTTGTGTTTCTCTTCCCTTCTCAAGGAGCTGGTTTCTGAGACTTTAAGTATCTTTTTCTTAATTTTTCTTTCCTCTGTATGACCCCCCCCCCCTTTTGGTAACCCATGCTGTAGCAGAGGAGGACAGATGGAAGTAGCTATGTCCTCTGTGCTCATAAATGCTGCTTCATTTATCTCCCTGAGGATAAAACTGGGACCCTACCAAATTCACAGCCATGAAAACATGTCCTGGACTGTGAATTCTGGTCTTTTGTGAGCACATTCCTTATACTATAGAGATTTCCCAGGGGAGACAATGTTTCTGCAATGAGAAGTCTGATTCAAAAGGGAGTCGTGGGGTAGTCACAAAATTATTTTGGAAGGATCTTGATAGCACCTCCCTCACTTCTGCTGAGCTGGGTGGCTACAGAGTGGGAGTTGTTAGCTGGGTGCTTAGCACCAAAGACAGCACTGCCACTGCCATCAGCAGCAGCACAGAAATAAATGCTGCAACTCTCCTCCCTCCCCATAGCTTTATGACCTCACCATCCCAATTCCTTTTTTGGGTCAGGACTTCTACAATTACAATACTAACAATTCAAGTTTAAATAGCTGAAATAATGAAATTTACATTTTTAAAAATTCTATGATTGTGAAAATGACCAAAATGAACCATGGTAGGGCCCTATAACTAAGCAACGCAAGTCACTTCTCTAGTCTTGTGCACTGTCTTAGCACAGGGTCCTGCATGTCACTTCAATAGCATTACCCAGCCCCAGTTATTCTTAGTGTAATTAAGATGGCACTGACCAGTATTGCATATCCAGTTTTTTCTAGTTCTATCAGCTTGTACAGAATTTAAGCTGCCATTTAAAGATTTGGGTTGTACCGTAGTGGCTGCATAGAGAAGATTTGGGTTGTACCGTACTGGCTGGCATAGTAAAAAAACCAAAAACAATAGTTCTGGGAGAGATGAAAAATCCCAAATCACCCTGATGGCTTCTTGTCTTTGAAGTGTAGTGAACATAATTTAAGTGTTAACATTAATTATTCCAAACTCATTTCTTCCATAACATCCGATAATTCTGGGATTGTAGGTAGAGTTTGAGAATATCACCATTTCCTTCTACTTGGCTTCTGCAACATGCTGGAGGACTAAGCCTCTGATCTGGCCCATGCCAGAGTTCTTTGATGTTTTATCAGATATGTCAGTAATCAGAATACTGTTAAAAGGAAAACAATAAAAATGAGTCTTTAGAAATCCAGGAGGTGGTGGTTTTGTTTTTGAAGAAAATTCTCTGTCCTCATTATTAAAGGAAACTATTATAAGGTCAAGGATATTATGATTGCTAACTAATTAAAAAAGACCAGCAAATAACCAGTACTAAGTGTCCAAAATGTAAAAGAACAATTAAACAGGAGGCAGTCATCTTGACCACGACATGTGTGAGTGGTAAAGCATAGCTATGCATTTTAATTTACATGAAGAGCAGAAAACTAAATTACTTATAATTGAAGTAACCAAAGGAGAAAATATAGAATTTATCTTCAAGTTGGGGTAATCTCCTGACTTGTAATGCATTCAGATTTTGTTTCTTAGTCTGCATAATCAATCTGGACTTCCTTAAGGACAAACATTAGTAATAAGGCAGCTCTTATTAACACAAAAACACTTTCTAAAGTTTGAGATTTTGAAATAGAACAGGTGTTTCTAAAATCTGGAGTATGAACAATGTTCACATTTAGTAAAATACATGCGGACAGTTAAATCCTGCATTCTTTATGCATCCAAAATGCTCACTGATTTCAACAGGCGTCATGGCTGTACAAGGCCACATCAAGGTCCTATTATGTTTCTCATTGCCACAATTTTCTTTAATGTCTTACCACTTTGCCTTTGAGCCAGTCAGCTACTTTCTTTGACTTTCAAAACTAAAACTGTCTTTCTCTTTCCCATCCCTTTCTCATCTATATTTTTACAGATCATTAAAAAGCTAATTGAAAGAAAACAAGCGCAGATCCGAAAAGTCTATCCTGGCCTTTCCTGCTTCAAAGATGGAGTACGACAGATTCCTATAGAAAGTATTCCTGGAATTAGTATGTACCAACCTCCCTTTTATTAATGCAAAGCTATACCAGAACAGCCAAGGTCCAAGATTAGAGGCATTTGAATTTGCCAAGTATTGTCTTTTTAATAGGCTTCAATTATCTAGGTTTGTTAATCTGATATAAAACGCGCTGGATTATCTTTCTTCTGGTTGAGGGACTTCCCTAAGGCTTTCTAGTATAGTGCTTCTCTATGTACATTTATCTAATTTTACCCTCTTTGTTTTGCTTCACAGTGCAATCATTATTTTCCCTCTGAGTCCATCTTATGTCTGTAACCCTATACTGTAATACAGTCCTGTGCTAAATAGATCCTTAGTTGAATCAGGACACCACAAAACTACAACCAATTATTTTTTCATTGTCTGTGTAGTATAGTCTATGTCCATAGAAAATGATGGCATTGAATCATTTTAACATCTATTTTTCTTTACATAGAAGAGGCTGATTATGATAAAAAAATGGCAAAGAATTTTTTTAAAAAGCTGTGGATTCCTTGTTGAGCATGTTACAGTGTACTTGAATGTGTCCTATAGGAAAATAAATGAGCTAGGAGCTACAGCGTTCTAGTTTTACTAGGATTAGCATTTAGAAAGCTTTTTATTCAGGTAGCACAGTAATTTTATTAACTTTAACCTGAAGAAATTCTTGTGTAATATTCAGTTTTGTTGGTATGCAGGAGAAACTGGCTGGAAACCAAGTGGAAAAGAGAGAGGGTAAGTACTGCTTGGACAAAGGGTAATGATGAAGCAGTTTGGGAATCCTTTGAGAACAAATGTCTCTAAACTGAGTGACTTTGAAATATTTCTTTACTCATATCACAAAATGGAATCTGCTGTAGAATAGCTCTTGCAGAATAGCTCTTGAGCATTACTTTTCCATTAATGATAAAATGTTTTAAATTTGTGAGTTGCTTATACGTAAGGTGTAGCATTGTAGAAATGAATATGAGATAAAGCTTATCTTCTTTATTAATATTTTCTTTCAAGTAAAGAACCCAAAGATCCAGATCAGCTTTACAGCACATTAAAAACCATCCTGCAGCAGGTGAAGGTGGGTATTCATTTTAGTTTACCTATGTTAAAGACTTTGAAATTCTTTCCAATATGGAGTTTCTATATTAGATACCTTACTTTTTTCTTTACCAAAGAGCCATCAAAGCGCTTGGCCCTTCATGGAACCTGTGAAGAGAACAGAAGCTCCCGGATATTATGAAGTTATAAGGTTTCCCATGGGTAATGCCATTAACATTTTTAAAGTATAAACTTAAAGATATCTCTAGCTGGAGACATGAGATAAGTATAGCCATCAGGGATTATTGTTACGTTTTCTCATATATTGTTTGCAGTAAAATAGCTTGCAATTCAGAGGTGCTTGCAATTCAAAGCATCTATATTATGTTCTCCTGTAAGAAAATACAAAATAGTACGGTACCCAAGAAGATTCCAATGAAGTCTTAAGCCAGGTCTATTCCAGCCCTTTTAGCTTACTGTGAGGGTTGAGACACACGTGAAGATGTGATCTCACATGTGGGATAATTTGCCATTGCATATTTTGTTGTGAATTTTTATCTAAATTGTTTAAAAACAAAAACAGAGAAAAAGTTTCCAGACTCGCTTATGTGACTAAAAGTCCAGGTCCTATTGCCTGACTGTGTTAGAAAAAAGATAGGAGACAATGGTTGTGGTTTCATTAGTCCGAAACTTTGTTCATTTAAAATGTCTGGGAGAACCTGGTCATAAATTGAACAGTGCAAGTCCTCATTCTTTCCTTTATCATTTCCACTTAACACCTAGCCTAATCCCAGCCATCATACTCTCCCTTTTCCCCTCATGTGCGATGAAGGGGAATTATGAAAGGAGGGAGGTCAAATCCCTGCTATGCAAGACAAAGGAGCCTTGAATCCCCTTCGTCAACTCCCTTAAGGGATGTTTTCCTTCAAATCCCTTTCTAGTCCATTTATCCAGTAATCATATCCCTTCCATAATGATTATGTGCACTGAACATCTGTTTCAAGTTTTATGTAACAAGCTGCAACATAATATCCTACCTCATGTTCTCTACTGGGTCCCAGATCTGGTGTGGGAAAGGGGGGGACACTATAAAAGAAGGCCTCTTTGCAACTGGCTGGGATTTAAATATCTACTTTCATCCCTACGCACAGCTTTCTGGTCAGCAGAAAGGGCAACTGAGTGGTGGTCTCTTGACTTGGCCCCAGCTATGTCTTGTAAACTTCCCCTTCCACCCCATTTATTTAACTTGTAATTTAAATCAAATGTTTGTTTCAGTTTAAGCTCAGCCCGCATGCTATATGGTCACTATCATAACCAGTCTTAAAACTTTTTTATTTTGAGGCTGTTGTTCATGATTCTGTTGCCACACAATTATTACTGAGAATTTTTTTTTCCTTTTCCTTTGGCTGCTGTGCTGTATAATCCTAGATAATTATTCCATCCTGTTCTAAACAGATGCCTTATTTGCTTTGTGGCACCATAGAACTAAAACTGAATCAAACTATGCATTCATGTTTTTTTGTGATGGGAGAACAGAACACAACTTCATTGAGGCACCTTTGTGCCTCAGTCTGAAGAGCAAAGAAAGCCCTCTGCTGCATGGCTACTCTGAAAGGACAGGAAACTCTGGATGTGCTTTTACCTAGGCTGCAACTGTATTAAGAACTGTCTAGGAGTACTTGGCAGATAAAAGTGTACAGTGCAGATAACTCTATAACCATTTCTATTAGCTCTCCCACCCTTTCTCATCCTGATCCCAGGCAACATGATGCTGGGACCTTATCTTCCCACCTTAAATAAGGGTTAAAGTGGACTAAAGGATGGGGGGATTGCCTCCCTGCTATGCCAGTTGGAGGATGTAAGTTGGGGCGGGCAGTAATTTTTTGACTGGAGCTACTTCAAAAATTTTTGAAGTGGCCCGGGCTGCACAGGAAGGGGCGGGGCATTGAGCAGAAGGGACAGGGCCAAGATATTTTCTGGTTCCCCACCCCCAGACAATGATTGGTTGGGGGTGATGGAGCGCCTTTGCTCCTAACCCACATTTCCCTCAAGGTGCACGTGCCCCTGGTGTGGGAGGCGACTTCCCTGTTCACCTGCCCCTAGGCCAATTAGGGCCTACGGCTGGGGGAGCATGCGAATCCACCTCCACTCTCCCCCCACTGCGCTTCAATCTTACTAACTCTTTCTGTATAGGGAAATATGTGTATGTATAAAATGAAAATCATCTTCCAGAATCACTTTAAAGCAAAGATATTTCAATTTATATTCTCTACCAGTGAAGATGAATGCTATATTGCTCAGTATTATGAATCTGCTTTGTACACAGAGTTTAGGCCACCATTATTATAAAGAACACTTATTGCCTGGATCGGTAAGCCCAAAATATAAATTCATTTTTTTAAAATATCCCATGCTGTGGATGAAAGAAATGAACAGACTCTGTCACCTTAAGTCATTCAGCGCTAAACAATCGAAAGCTCAGAGTTTGCGAACACTGAGTTAAGGTCTCAAGAACTGGCCCCCCAAATGAGCACCGACATAAGTAAGACAGACAGCCCACAGCTGTTTGGTGCTAGATAAATGCAAAGTGTTGCAGGTAGTTGGAGTTACAAAATGACAGGAAATGGATACGCTTTTGCCTTTTCGGTAGATGTTCCTGAGTTGTTTGGCCCCTTGCCATTCATAGGTGGAAGCATGTGTGTCTGTTAGCTGTTTGTTTTGTAGAATACCATACAACAAGACTAATGAATGGCAGCATTTTGCAGCTAAAATTTGCAGGCTGTTTGTGGGTCACTCAACACACATAGTCTTCTCTTTGAAAGAATTTCATGCTAACAATTTATGTAGGGCTTGTCTCTTGATTGGAAAGGCATCTTTTTTGAAGCTCAATCGCAGAAAGAAGGATGAAAAAAGTTCATAGTATCTTTATTTCTTCAGGGTCTGATACTAACAGTCCACCATAACTGACACATGAGTGTCATTTTTGGAGTTGTACATTCTTTAGAGATCCCTTGGTCCTTGGCAATGAGTAAGATATTTTTTCTGGTACACTGAGTAAATATTGTATTAAAGTTTTAATAATTTTCTTTCATGTGTCTAGAGCTTGCGGTCCAGACTACTATGATATATCTGGAAACTGGGAAAGCATTCTGGCCATATTTATGGCAATGCACACAGCAAGCATGTCATTACCTCAGAATTTTTATATCCAATACAAGCACCTACAAAATAGAACCAAGATTTTAATAAGACCTAGTATAGAACTACAAACTGTAAGGTCTAGATGGGTGTTAAGTTCACTGATGTGTTTTGTGAGCAAAAATAATGGAAAACTTTCATCACTACAGCAAACTACTTGTTTGGGTTGCTGAAAAATAGATTTTTTTTAAACCGTGTATATTTGACTTGGTTTTTCTCTTCATGAAAATATAAAATAGTGTTAGCATTTAACTCTGTACATTGTACATTACTTCTATGAACTTTTACTTACTATATGTAATAGAGATGTGCATTCTTTGCTGTATTCAAACTGAGTGGCATATGATGATTAAGCTGATACTGTTTTTATTAACACAGATACCTAGAGATTACATGATCATTTTAACTTTTTAGTCACATACTGAAGGGCCTTATCCTTCAAGGTGGTGAGCTCAAATTCTAAGGTTGAGGAGATTCAATGTTTTAGAGGACGCGGGGTCTTACATAGGCAAATGAGTATCAGGGGAACAGCAAGTAGGCTTTAACCTTTAAATTGAGATATTTTAGGTGCTGCAAATTGCATTCATTGTTAGTGGAAAAGCTGCTTATATAACCTATGGTTTGATCTGCCCTACAGTTCACTTTTGCTGTGGACTTCAGTGAGAGCAGGCTCAAGCCCTAAGCAAATAAAAGTAACTAAGCATTAGTAATTTTTTATTTAAAAAGTGAGTTGGTGGCAAAGACTGTGTATCTCAAGCACTGTATGTGTCTTTATTATAGGAATCAGATTGCTAATTTTTTTTCCTGTATAGATCTAAAAACCATGAGTGAACGACTCAAGAATAGGTACTACGTATCTAAGAAACTATTCATGGCAGACTTGCAGCGGGTCTTTACAAATTGCAGAGAGTACAATCCCCCTGAGAGTGAATACTACAAATGTGCCAATATATTGGAGAAATTCTTCTACACGAAAATTAAAGAAGCTGGATTAATTGACAAGTGACAGTTGTTTCTTTCAACCACTGTGCCTAACTTATAGGCTCAGTATGCTATTCACGTTCATGTAGCTTTGGGACTTCATATGTGTGTTGAAAAAACCTGTATGTATTTTAACTAGCACTTTTAAAAGCCCTTTTAGTTTTGCAAACATGTATTATACTGAAGTTATAGAAAATGTTTATTTTATTAAAATGAAGCTTTATAATGTATTTAACATTACTGTAAAACTTCTTTTGCATACATATTTGCAGTATGGTCAAGAATAGGCTTTTTATTGGATATCTCAAAAAATTTCATATGGGAATTTGCACATGTTTGGGGATTTGGAAATTCCCATCCAATGAATGTTTTAGCTTATCTAATGCAGTATCTATTTGAAGTTTTATTTTTTTCCAGTAAAAACGAAACATTAAGGGAAAATTACAATTTAAGAGGCACTGAAATGTTTTGTCTCTACGTTTCATTGTAGAGTCCTTTTATATATATTATTTTTTAAAAGAAATGGCTAGTTGAGATGCTATGGGAGAAGAGCAACTTATTCTGCAAAGAAATTGCTTTGGATCTTAAGGAAAAAATCCTATATAGATGCAAACTTTTGTATGGATTTTGGTTTTGATAAATTATTTACCTGCAAAACACTTGTGATTTCATAACCACTATTTAAAAAATAATCATATTGACTTTGCTTATGCAGGACATAAGTTTCCCCCAAATAATTAAAAAACTATGGTAGGCATATACTATAGTCTCATATTTAATTATTTTAGTAGGGATATTTTATTGATGTACTTCAGTGAACCATCCCATTTCCTGGACTTTTAATTGATACATTCTGTAGAGTTCCCAACACAGATCATGAAGACTGTTGCTTAAATAGATACCAAAACGTTACCATATCACAGCCACTAGTTTTATTTGCCCATATGGTAAACTGGATTTTCTACCAAGTTCTACTGTAAATATTTTATTATAATATGTAGACCGAGGAGTATATTTAAAGTGTTACATAGCCATGTTAATATATCACTAGGTATCAAATCAAGCACTTGTGTACTACTGCTTACACTACATTTAGGAAAGGTGCTCTTAGATCCCTAATAGAGATTAATACAGGCCAAAAAATAAGTTGTCACTTGACATTCATTTTATAATTGAAATTTATAAACTGGTTTTCTGAAGCCTGAACTTTAATGTAGTGTTTTTATATGTACAGATGTTACACTGGCAAAGTGCAGGAAGTAGTTTCAGATTGGAAATAACTGAGTTGTGACAAAACATATTCTTGCAAATTACCTGTTCAGAGTTAAATCGCAATGCTATTCAACAACAGATGCCAGAAATTAATTGAAGTAGTTATTGTGGTACTAAAGGTATTGAAAATGTTAACATTAGATTGTCTCAATGCTTAATATTGAAATCAGTCTGAATTACATTTAGACTTGTAACTATAAAGGTACAAATACTACAATTGTATTGAAGCATCTAGTACTGTCTGTAAACTGGGCCTACAGCTGCACCTGTTGAGCTTGGTATCCTGTGAAAGTTTATTTTCTGAGTAGATTTTCTTACTGTCTTTAAATCAGATTGTCTCTTCTATATTGAAAGCTTTTCTTTTCTAATTTAAAAATTAATATTTTCATAGATATTGTGCAATAAAGCTAAAGTAGGATGTGTGGTTTTGCAAATGCTTTAACAGCTGAAATTTTACATTTGTAAAATTAATATATTGTACTGGTACAGAATAGTTTTAAATTATATATATAAAAACATGTTTGGTCTCTTATTTCAATATCTAACTGCTCTAAGACTATTTTATTAGTTCTCACGTTTAAAAAATACATTGAAGCAGTTTATATTTTTTTGTACTGAACAGACTTGCAAGACCCAGCTATGCATTTCACTTATCTATTAGTTACAGTGTGCGTACCTGCTCTCAATTTAATATTGCAGGCCAATGAATTCATTCGGAGTGTAAAGTCTGCAGTCAGGCACTTCTTCATGAAGAGTAATGAAACCAAATATAGTATATTCACTAGTGAGGCTGAAACATTCATGCTACAGTGCTTGGAATAGTTTGAATAAATCTTTATTGGCTTTAGTGGTTTAGTAAAGTTGACAGTCTATATTGTTTTTATTTGGGTATCTTCTCTTGTGTGGTTCATGATTCTTTTTGGCTTGCCAGGAGCCATTTGTTTTCTTCTTTAGCTCCTGAGTATTGATTTGTGTGCAGTTCATTCCCTTGTCCAGATAACAGACTACCAGTTTAGATTTTACTCATCCACTCAAACATCATTTCTGATGCAACAGTTAGTGAGGCATGATCCTGCCGTTGTGCTCTGTACAAGCTGAAAATACTGAATAACCTTCTTAGGCAGTCCTTGATAAAGTGCAGCACTACACTGGTCTGAGCTCAAACGCAGGCATAACTTCTAAGGCTGCGTCTACACTGGCATGATTTTGCGCAAAAGCAACTGCTTTTGCACAAAATCTTGCCGCCTGTCTACACTGGCCGCGAGTATTTGCGCAAGAACAATGACTTTGTAATGTACAAAATCATTGGTTCTTGCGCAAATACTCCGACGCTCCCACTCAGGGATAAGCCCTCTTGCTCAAGTATTCTTGCGCAAGAGTGCCAGTGTAGTCAGCTAAGTTAATTTCTTGCGCAAGAAAGCCCGATGGCTAAAATGGCCATCTGAGCTTTCTTGCACAAGAGAGCGTCTACACTGGCACGGATGCTTTTGCGCAAAGGCACATGCCAGTATAGACGATCTCTTGAGCAAATACTTTTAATGGAAAAACTTTTCCATTAAAAGTATTTGCGCAAAATCATGCCAGTGTAGACGCAGCCTAAGTGTGTGGGAGGGAAAGGATCACAATGTTGAGAGTTGGAAGTAATTAGCCTTGCTCCCGTGTGACACTTGGCCTGGCACTGTATATAAGTTGTAGCTTGGTCAGCCCTTTTCAGTTATGTCTATACTACAATTAAAAACCCACAGGCCAGCTGACTTACTCATAGAGCTCAGTTAAAGGACTGCTTAATTGTGATGTAGACATTCAGGCTGGCATCCCAAAGTTCATGCTCCAGCCCAAGCCCAAACATCTACAAAACACTTAGTAGCTTAGCCAGTGAGCAAGCAGGTGCCTTTCAGATCAGCCTAGTCAATCATATGGTTAATTTTGGAAATGATATGACAGAGCAAAGGACAGAGTCCGGTTCAGACTCCTGCATGCAGTGAATCTTGCTCCATGCATAGGAATGGAAAACTTCTTATACATAATTTTCTTTCTGCTAGCAGCATCTTGTTCATTTCTGGATATCTGGGTTGCTTTCCCCTGTGTGCAGTTCAGAGACAGATCAGTATTTTGGCATGACATGCAGGGTCTGGCCACACCTCCTTTGCTCCTACTCAGATGAATTATTCCCAAGCTGTAAAATTGGTATAACATCATTAACAAGTAGGGCTCTAGAGGTCGTAATGGACCGCAAGCTAAATATGATTTAAGTGTGACACTGTTGCCAAAAAAGGCAAGCATCATTTTAGGATGTACTACTAGGAGTGTTGAAAGCAAGATATGAGAAGTAATTTTTCTGCTCTACTCCATGCTGTTTAGACTTCAACTGGAATATTATGTCCAGCTCTGAATGCCACATTTCAGGAAAGAAGTGGACACATGGGAGAAGGTCCAGAGAAGAGCAATACAAATTATTAAAGGTCTAGAAAGAGAGAGTTACTTTGTGCAATAATGAGAGTTCTTTGAGATGAGTATCCCTGTGGGTTACTGGTGTGTCCTCACACCGGCGAGTGGATATCTTTTCTAGTAGTGCCCTGCCACGGCACATTAGTGTCCCCTTGCACCATTAGCATCCAGTGATTTCACGCACAGTGCCTCCAGCCCTTCTCTACTTTGGTTATAGCCCCAAAGAAGATCCAAAATAGGGGAGGAGGGCTGGAAGTGGAGCACCTATGAGGACACACATCTCAAAGAACCCTTGTTACTGCACAAGGTGAGTAACTCTCTGAGTGCTGGCCCTGTGAGTGCTCCAATGTACGTCTACGTCTACACTGCAGGCTTTTTGCACAAGAACAGCCGATCTTGTGCAAAAACTTTCAGAGCGTCTACACTGCACACGCATTCTTGCACAAGTAAATTTACAGTACAGCGTCGGAAAACAGGGCTTCTTCCAGAAGAATTATTCCTCTCCACATGAGGAATAAGCACACTTGTGCAAGAGCACTTCCAAAAGAAGGCAGGGTAGACAGGCAACATGAATTTCTTGCGCAAGAAACCCCTATGGCTAAAATGGACATCAGAGCTTTCTTGCGCAAGGAAACGTCCACACTGCCATGGATGCTCTTCTGCAAAAGCACATCTCTTTCACAAAAGCACATGGCAGTGTGGACGCACTCTTGTGGAAGACCTTTTCCACAAGAACTCTTGCACAAAACAGTTCTTGTGCAAGAAACCTGCAGTGTAGACGTAGCCTAAGTGTTTGAAGAGCAGTATCTGTTTTGTGGAGGCGAGTTCTGGAGCTGTCCCCTAGAGACAGTGGAGAGGACAACACGTCCTACTGATGTTGTTGGGATTAGTCCAGATGTCAAAGCGTAGTGTCTGGCAAATGTGTGTTTGGAGGACCAGGTTGCTGCTCTGCAGATGTCCCCAAGTAGGACATTGTTGAGGACGGCTATGGTTGACACCACCAACCTGTTGCTGCTGGCTGTTGCTTGTTATGGATGGTATAGAGGGTAAGAGGAGATCCATTAGGAGATCCACTGTGAGGAGACAGCTTTTGTCCTATTGAGTTTGTCTCGAAGGAGCTGAAGAGCCTCATGGACTTCCTTCAGGACTTGGTCCTCTCAAGGTAGAAAGTGATCGCTTGTCGGACATTGAGGATGTAATGCTGCTTGGATCACATTTTTGTGCGGCTTCAGACAGAATGCAGGTAAGTGAATTGGTTCATTAATATGGAAGGGTGTGGGCACTTTTGGGAGGAATTTTGGGTGAAATCTGAGTGTGACCTTGTACTTACTGAAAATTGTGTACGGGGGATCTGCCATCAAAGCTGCTATTTCGCCAGCCTGTCTGCTGGAAGTGATAGCTACAAGGAAGGCTACTTTCATTGACAGATGTAGCCACAAATATGTGGCAAGTGGTTCAAAGGGAGGCTTTGTGAGGCTCTTAAGGACATGATTGAGGCCCACAAAGGGATAGGTGGTCTTACTGCAGGAAACATATTTTGTAAAATCGCTAAGAAACTTTTGGTCATGCAGTGCAAAAAGAGGAAAACCCCATCCAGTGGTTCATGAAATGCTGCAATTGCTGCTGTGTGGACTTCTATTGAGTTGAGAGAGAGATCTGTCTTGCTTAGTTCAAGGAGATAGTCCAGTATGTGGAGGTTGGGATGTTATGTTTTCCCCATATCCATTTGGAGAATGTTTTCCACTTATATATATAGGTTTTCCTGGTACAAGCTTGCCAACTGTTAATCAGTATTTGTTCTACCCTCTCAGAGCAGGAAGTTTCGGCATCATTGGGGCCATGAAGGAGCCAGGCCTTGAGGTAGAGTATTACCGGGTCTGGATGGAGAGTCTTGATGTGACATTGTGGGAATGCATGGGGAGTGGCCAGTCATTGCCAGTTGTTGCAGGTACAGAAATCAGGTCTGACCATGATGGCGCTACTAGTATAGCCCATGCAAAGTCCTGTTGGATTTTCATGATCACTTGATGTATTAGGGGTAGCGGTGGGAATGTGTACAGAAGTGGAGCTTTCCAATTCAGAAGAAATGCATCACCTAGGGATCCCTTCCCTAGGCCTGCCCTGGAGCACAACTGATGGCATTTGTGGTTGTACCAGGTCACAAAGAAATTGATGTTGGGTTGACTACACGTGCAGAACTTTTCTTGGAGGGCTGTTGTGTCTAGTTGCCACTTGTGTTGGTCAGAAAATAGATGGCTGAGATTGTCTGCCGTAACACTGAGAGCTCCTGTTAGGTAGGAAGAGCAGTATCTGTTTTGTGGAGGCGAGTTCTGGAGCTGTCCCCTAGAGACAGTGGAGAGGACAACACGTCCTACTGATGTTGTTGGGATTAGTCCAGATGTCAAAGCGTAGTGTCTGGCAAATGTGTGTTTGGAGGACCAGGTTGCTGCTCTGCAGATGTCCCCAAGTAGGACATTGTTGAGGACGGCTATGGTTGACACCACCAACCTGTTGCTGCTGGCTGTTGCTTGTTATGGATGGTATAGAGGGTAAGAGGAGATCCATTAGGAGATCCACTGTGAGGAGACAGCTTTTGTCCTATTGAGTTTGTCTCGAAGGAGCTGAAGAGCCTCATGGACTTCCTTCAGGACTTGGTCCTCTCAAGGTAGAAAGTGATCGCTTGTCGGACATTGAGGATGTAATGCTGCTTGGATCACATTTTTGTGCGGCTTCAGACAGAATGCAGGTAAGTGAATTGGTTCATTAATATGGAAGGGTGTGGGCACTTTTGGGAGGAATTTTGGGTGAAATCTGAGTGTGACCTTGTACTTACTGAAAATTGTGTACGGGGGATCTGCCATCAAAGCTGCTATTTCGCCAGCCTGTCTGCTGGAAGTGATAGCTACAAGGAAGGCTACTTTCATTGACAGATGTAGCCACAAATATGTGGCAAGTGGTTCAAAGGGAGGCTTTGTGAGGCTCTTAAGGACATGATTGAGGCCCACAAAGGGATAGGTGGTCTTACTGCAGGAAACATATTTTGTAAAATCGCTAAGAAACTTTTGGTCATGCAGTGCAAAAAGAGGAAAACCCCATCCAGTGGTTCATGAAATGCTGCAATTGCTGCTGTGTGGACTTCTATTGAGTTGAGAGAGAGATCTGTCTTGCTTAGTTCAAGGAGATAGTCCAGTATGTGGAGGTTGGGATGTTATGTTTTCCCCATATCCATTTGGAGAATGTTTTCCACTTATATATATAGGTTTTCCTGGTACAAGCTTGCCAACTGTTAATCAGTATTTGTTCTACCCTCTCAGAGCAGGAAGTTTCGGCATCATTGGGGCCATGAAGGAGCC